GATAGCATTGCTAGGTAATCATTAGCTTTCTCAGTTTTGGTTACAGCCTTGTTTGCCTTGTCTCTGATGGGTCTTGTCAGGGGCCCACACAGAATGGAAACTGTGGCCTCAGTCTTAGCAGGCCACTGTCTACTTAATGGAAAATCTCTAAATACTGAGGATAGTTGAGGCAGAGGATGGTTGGAGATGGTAGGTTTGATTCTAAAAAGGGGACATTTGATCAGTCTATACCAAGTCGAGAGCCTGAGGCCTTTCCTGGTCTTACACTATGATTTGCCTCTCTTGGTCATGGTTCAAATCCAGTATTGAGAGTCCTCCAGCATAGTGGGTGGTCTGAAATAAAACTGTTTGAGTACTTGCAAAAAGTATCTGCCAATCACTATATATAATCTGCCCTGTGCCAAGCCTGAAGCAAACTGAAAGGGGAGGATATTGTATAAGTTACAGAAGTCATGGCTGTCATCTGGGCCTTGCCAGAAGAGTTCCAATACTCAAACACAGTAATTAAGCATGTCCTGAACTAGTAAACTGTGTTAAGAGAATTTAGAAGAGACCATGCTGAAGCAGTAAGGGAAGCATACGATGTGTGCTCAAGTTAGCACTGTACAAAAGTAGGTCTGAGTATCTGCAGAACAGGTACTTCTTTATTGCCATTGAGTCTGACAGGTCCAAAGTGCTGTGTATGCTCTACTTCATTGCACAAACTTTTACTGTTGAATCAGCCTGTTTTACACAGCCTTACATAAGGTATGGGATTCAGGTTATCTTTTCTGGAATGGGGACCCTCTGAATTTATCTCTCTTAAGGTCATTTTATGATCTCTTTGAGGCTTTTCTGTGCAGTCCTAGGATAGGAGCATGGTTAGTCTGTGCTTCTGGGTATACCCTCATTTTACACAAAGAATCTTTGGTCCTGTTCAGTTCAGGGTTTTTTTGCTTCAAATAGGAAATCCTTGCTGAGAATTATTTGCAAGAGCTGTTCTTGAATAGCACTGTGGGTAGCCCTACTCCATGCACTTTCAATGGCTTTGCAATTTCAAGGCACGGGCGTTTAACCTCTCTGCTCTCGTGTGATGTGTGCTGGACACACAAAGCTGTTTTACAGCCTGCTGGGGATGGGAGCGACAAGTGGGCTTGAGTGAGATGAAGCAGTGAATGCTGTCCTTCGGACAGGGAAGCCTTAGCTCAGTGTTTACATATTTCCTTCCTCCAAAACACACAGAGTAAGGGTGAGGTGGGGAGCAGCTGCTTTTGAGAAGATGAAGACTCAAGTATTACCAGGTTTACCATATCTTTAGAAGCTGATCCAAAACCCATCAAACTAAGTGGAAAACCGCCAGTGATTTGTAAAGCTTCTGGATCAGGTCCTTAAACCCATCTCTCGCAGTTTGGCTTGCTGTCTTTTGTGCAGCTGAGTAATACTGGTCCCAGCCCTGTGATCTCAGGAAGTCAGAGCAATGTGCTAGAGGCTGCAGGGACCACCCTCTGAAATGGCAGAGGGCCTCTTTTCACCTTGTCTTAGACTTGCATAATAGCTGAGCACATCTGTGCCTGCAGACTTACATTTCCTTCAAAGCTTTGTGTTCTTTGCAGCTGGGTACCTGAACCACCTTGAGCTGTAGAGGGACTTGCAGAGCTTTAGAGGTTCTGAATCAGATATCTGGAGATGGATAGTGTTGGAAACTATTAAACTTTTGTTCATTGGTTTTCATGTGGAGGAAGTGAGAGCATGGATTTTTAACCCCCTGGAAATGATTAAAGACGAGAAACACAAAGGAGGCCTTGATGAACATTTTGCCCCTAAGCCATGTGGTTCCTAGTTTTCCATCTCCTGCTGCTGACATGCAAAGCCAGAGCCTTGGTTTTTAATTTTTCATACTGTTTTTAAACAGATACTTTTGCAAATGTAAACATAGCCCAGCACTGAAGGTTTCCAGTCAAATTAAAGAGTCAGCACTTGAAAAATCAGCCTTCAGAAGAAGGTCAAATACAAGCAATCTCTGGAGTTCATTGGGTCCATATGCGTAAACTGCAGCTAATATGGGGTGGACCTAGGGCAGCATTTACCTTGAAGTTAGTTTCAGAGGGAAGCTGAAAATATTTTTAGGGATGGCTGTGGTCTGAGCAGTAGATTTGAATGTGTTGAATGAAAAAAGACCCATGTTCTGATTCTTGGTTGCAGTTGCATTCTCTCTTAACAGGAAGGAAGAACTTTGGGAAGGAAAATGTGCCATTTGGCATTAATTCTGACAACTTGCATTTATATATTCTTATCTGGGTCCATGCTGGGTTTAATAATCTCCGACTACATGCCTATAAAAGCTTAATTTTGCTATGAGGATGCATGCCTTTCAGCCTTTAATTTAATAACTGGGAAGGGTTTCTTTATAAGTTGTACCACCTGCAGTACTAATAGAAATCAAGACACTGCCTGTTATTTCTGGGGCTTGATTGACATTTGAGCCAACTTGGAAAGATTCAAGCAACCTACTGCCTTTAATTTTTAAAAAAGTATTTTTACCTGTAGTTTGTCAGAGCTTGCATTAAAAGGAAGCACTGATGAGTGTACCTCTCTGAAGTGGTAATCTTCGGCTTAGAGCAGCAGATGAAGAAATATTCTTCCTGCCGCTGCACTCTAATAGTGGGTTAGTTAGTAGGAAAGAGTCAGTAGAAGAGGAGGCAAAATGACAAGAGAAATTACGGCCTAAAAGCAGCATCCTTAAAAGGTATCATCATTTTATAGCAATCCTCTAATCCTATCCCCATCACCAGCAGAAATGCCAGAAGATCTGCACCACATCAGCTAGCTATCCTGCCTGAAAGGTGTTATTGTTGCTGGTTCTGCTGCTTCGTTCAGAAATGTCTCTGCAGCTAAAGAGCTACAGGAAAAGAAGTCAGAGCCCCGTTAGTTAGGAGAATGCCAGAGGTGAAACTGCAGTGCCTCCCTGGTGCTAGTACATCATTAAGGGTCCCTGAGGAGTGTAGGAGGTGGAGATGCTTGAAGGTTAGAGGAGTTATTCCTTAACTCATGCCTTTTCATTGAAGAGCAGAGGAGGTACACGTGTTGTGTGTGGTTACACAGTGTGACAGGAATGCTGAGAAGGGCTGAAATCCTCCAGCTCCCAGCAGTAGAGTTTTTATTATTGGGAGGATGGAGGTCTCGCTGTTGGAGGGGTCCTGGCAGCATCCAGTTAGGCAGGACATGGGGCCAGGCCAGACAGTGTCCAGCTCCGTGGTGAGGGACTACAGGAGCTGTTATGAAACATGGTGGTATTTGGGGCAGAGGCTGAAGCTCTGTGACAAGGTTCTGCTTTGGAAAGAGAGGCAGGCTATGTAGACTTCATGGACTTTTTATGTGTGTTTTTTTAAGGTTTTAGTAACTTAAGGGCTTATTTAAGGTTCATCCATCCCTGGAGGGAGAAAGGACTTCAAATTGCTCCACAAATATCCCTACATCAAAGTTTTTAAACAGCTGCACATCTATAATCCTGTGAAGCATGCCAAGACACCACAGGCCTTAGTGAGATTCTTCATCAGCATTGTCCTCTTGTCCCTGTGGAAAGGGAAACTAACACCTGCAACAAAGCATTTGAACCTGAATGCCTTCAGTGAGACTTCTCAATTTATCATTGGAGAGATAAAGTGACAGTGGAACAGGTTTTTTCAGAGCTCTTTTGCACTGGTCTGAACTACATCATTATTGTTATGAGTCATCAGGTCATTGGCCCGTATATTGGTATCCTGTTGGCATGAGACCAGAAGATATTACCATCCATGCTAAGCCTCCTGGATCTTCAACAACCAGTCCTTGAATGAGGGAGGGCTGCTTGTCAACAGGTCACAGAGGGATTACAGTCATACTGATTTGGTCTCATCTGTACCTTGCCCCCTGAGGTATTTGGTATTCTCCATGTATTTTACAGCCAGAGTAGTTACCAGAATAAATTCTCAAGAGAAGTCCTCACAGTAAAGCCGGATGACTTTCTGAAAGATACATTTAAATCTATTCACAGTTATTTTGTGCAATAAAGGTGTAAGGTGAGAGGCTGAAATTCTGTGATCTGTAATATACACAAGGTCAAAGCTGGTAGTGGTATTGAAAGATGGGATGCTGTGAATGCCCCAGCATCCTTCCTGAGGGTACCCTAAAAATAGTAATTCACCTTTTTTCCTTAAAAACATGTATTTTTTTTTTTTATTACAACAGGACTTCCTGCCCTAGATTGCTTAGTTGATATTAACAGATGTAACTTCTGGAAGAGCTTTGTCTCTTCAAGCAAAGCATAGCCAGATCTATTGCTCTGCATTTAACCTGTGTGATTGCATTTTGGACAGTTGCCTAGATGGGCAAATCCAAGGCAGTTGATAAAGGCAGTCTCAAGCCTGTGCAATTGCTCAGCCACAAAGAGGCTGTGATGACACCCAACATCCCACCATCTAAAAATGGATTTAGCTGATAGGCTGTGAAATGCTGGGTAAAGTGAAACCCGTAGAAGAGAGCCAAAGACCTGAAAGAGAAGGCAAAATGTCATTGAAGCAGCCAGGTCTTGAGTGCAGATCACCAGTACTCTAACTTGGTTCTTCATCAGCTGGCACAACCTTTTCTTTCTGGCAGGCAGCAGTTTCCCTTTGATCAGCACAGAAGGCAAGGCTGGGGAAGTGTTATGGCAAGCAGCCTCATCCCTTTACACCACTTAATCCTGACACTGAAGATGTTTCCTCAGTTTTAACAGAAGTAAAATTGAGCTGCTGTTGTCTCTGAAACCAATGCTGACACTCCATCGTGGATATGAAAATAACTGCTGAGACAGCTTTGTGTTTATGTGTGGGTTTTTTGCACATTCTGCAGAGAATCAGAATAAATAGAAACCCATTAAAGAGATTATTAATTAGCCTTCCCCTGACAGATAACTCAGTAGGAAATCCATTAGTGAATGTCCGGGTGAACTCACTGCTTGTGGAGCAACTTTACTGTTTTCTGCTTTCTCGTTTTCATTGCAGATCTGAAGCCCTGGGTGTCGAATTTCACCTATCCAGGTGTGCATGACTTTTCTCAGCTTGCACTGGATGCCAACAGGAACCAGCTCATTGTGGGAGCAAGGTAAAGATAACTTTTGATTAGTCTAGGGTTGCTGCTCAAGCTCTTTCCCTTCAGGTCCTGGCTTCAGAGAAGAGTGTGTTTCCAGCTTATGTGGCCAGTTTCCCCCTCAGAAAGAAAGCTATAATTTATGGAGTGGGATTTAGACATCAAGTATAATTGCAAAGAAGAGAAAATTACTAGAATTAAAAAGAAAAAAAAAAAAAGATTCAATCAAAATGACTGGTTAATGAAGCAGAATGCTGGCATCTCACTCAGTATTGTGAATGTTAGAAGAGCTACAGTAAATCATTCTGCATCATCCCTCTGCCAGCACAGAATTTGACTTTATGGTTTATTTGCCACAGCAAGTCTTTCACTCAGAACCAGGTTCATCTACATACCTTTGTGTAAGTGGTAGAGCCACTGTGAATGGTTGCTTTCTTCTCTCTTAGAATCCACTTCAGAACCTGTTTGCTTCATCTGCCTGATGTAGTCAGATCCTCACCCAATGTGTTCTGGTGCAACTCTTTCTCCTTGCCCATTGTATATAATTATAATATATTTTCCTTTATTTTTAAACATTATTTTTATTTAGGAAGTCACAAGAGGAGGGGGAAACACATAAGCACAGGCAAGGCCTTACAAATTCAGAGCTGCATTTGTAATGGGGAGAAGAGCTTTGTTTCAGTGAAATAATAGATCAAAACTGGTTAAATCATGAGCCCCAATGACTTTTTTTTGCATAATAAACAGATAAGACAAGAAAAAAAATACCAAGCATGGTCTAATAAATCAGTTAAAGTATAACACTTTGACTCAGATAACATTGTGGTATCAGTCTCTGCTATTAACAAAAATGGAGGGAGAATGCTTTCTTCACAGTGTATTCAGCAGTAGAGGACAGGGACGTGAGGAGCAGAGGTGGAACTCATGGTACTAGCAATAGAAAAGAGCAAGAGGTGTAGCAGAAGGAGAGTTTTATCCTTCACAGAAACAACTGAAGTGTGATTTAATATACGTTTTCTGCCTGTATATGTGCAGTAAATAATAACACTTACCTTCCTGTAGCTGTTCAAATTGCCAGAGGCCCTCCTGCTTTTCATACAGAAACATTTTACTTTTCAAGCTGCAGCTTTATTTGTGCTGGGATCTTTAACCAGAAATTATTAATATTTATTACTTCAGAACAGCATTGCTGTGGGGATAGCTGTGAACAGTGCCTTTTGCCAGGCATTGCACAGGCAGGTGCTCTGAGGAATTTGTGGTTTACATAATCGTGCTGCACGGCAGGTTTCCCCCACGCAGTCCCTCACCCCTCCTCAAACCCCACAGCACCTCCTGAAGGGACTCTCTGCCTCCCCGAGAGTTTGTACGAGCGTGGTTAGACAGGGGTACAACATCATCACAAACAGGGGAGTGACAGCAAAGCTGCCTTCCCGGTGGAGGTACACTATATTGCAGGGTATTGCCTCATGAGGAAGCACTGACAGCTATTGATAGAATTTGCCTGGAAAAGTCAGTTTTCATGAAGCACTACCCACCTGACTGGGAGACTGAAAGTTTCAGTGGTGCCACACGGCTGTGCTGAGCAGTTCAGGGTACATTTAATGAAGATGTCATTTCCCAGGGTGGTTTTTTTTTGGTTGGATACACATGCTTGGTGTGGAGAAGGTGGGGAGCGCTGAGCCCATTTTCTCGTCTCAGCTCCACCCTGTGGGAGGTGACAGGGGGAGGTTCTTGAAAATGGTGTGTGGATGGGGTCCTTGGTGCTCCATGGCTCCGGGTGCACTGAGCTCCTGGAGCTGTGTCTGAGGAATGGGAAGGGGAAGTAAAGCCTTTTCTGTTCCCTCCTTCCCTGATAAATCCACACCTTGTTCCGGACTATTTTTAGGGGTGATTTTTTGAGTCATTAGTTGCTCGTGCACCATCTGCTTGAATTTGCAAATGAAACAATACCTCAAAGAGATAGGAGCTGTCTCTATCCATCTCTGCAGGGTGTAATTTATGAAACCTAAATTTAAATGTTAACCATGTTTAAATGTGCTGCTGTAGATCATATTAGTAGTAATGCCAGCTATTCTGGAGTTGTGGAAGGAGTTCGGGATCAGGGTGGCGTTTATAAGTACTCCCACTTCTTAATTTCCTGGTTAACATCATTCTCTTAGATGATAGCATTATAAATTATTTCAGACTACTTCTGTCTGTCTCTATTTAAAAGCAGTATGACCTCATCACAGCATCTCTTTGGCTTAGTTCATCCTGTGTTTCAAAGCTTCATAGAAAATACTTCCAAGAAAACCCGAGGGTTCACAAGAGTTTTTGGTTTCAGGAATTGGACACAGCGTGACTGAAACTGTAAGAGGTATTGTGGGCATGCCATGCAGACAGGGAGCTGGAATAACATGATCCTCAGATTTTTAAGCTTTATCCTTATCTAAGAGCCCTCCTTAAATGACTGGTGCTGTCTGAGAGTAAACCAAGGGAGTTTGATAACTCCACTGCACCAAACACCTGCCAAGTTAAAATCCCAGAAACAAAAGAATTAGTTTCAAAAGCCCACCGTGGTTTCTAAGCAACGTATTTACTTGTCACATCATTTGTAAAATCCAAATGCTTGCAAGAAAGGATATGAATAGTTTAGAACATTGTAAATCTACACTACCCATATTATGAGTCACATTTCATTAAGTATAGAAACACACATTTCAAAAATTCATAACCTTCATTTTGACTCACAGTTCGCATGTTTTGTTTTTGTTTTGGATATAGTGTTAGTGTTCTAATGTACTTTTTTCTTCTGTGAATGAGTGATTGTTTTGAAATATTTGCTGCTTTTTTTCAGCTCTTGAGAACAAGTGATCGCTATTTGAGCTTACTTTAATGGGAGGAAAAACTATGATCTAGACCTCATTATTAGTGAGAAAAAAATTGAAAATATGGTCACAGTGATTTCATCTGTCTGATGGAGAAGCAGTGCTCTGCTGTCTCACCTGTGCTGCAGGCAGCAGGGAATGTGAGTTTTGTGGAGGAGGGACATAGTGTAGCTGTGACATTCCACCTCCACAAGGAGCCTTACTCCTCGGGACTGTCTCATTGCTGGCTGGGCACAGACAGAAGCCGGTAAAGAAGTGATGATGTGAAAGACCCTGCTTGGAGGCAGGCCAAAAATCATGCTTCACAAGAGCTCCTTGTTGAGGACAACATAAAAGGTGTAAAGGAGAGTGGTTGAGACACCGTGTGACAATCTGGCATAACAGCAAGATGAAGGAAAACAGCTTGGACAACAGAAGGATGGCACCCAAACAAATGACTGTACAGAGAGTGGCTGGGAAGTCCTAAGGGAAACATTTGACTTTTCCCAGAAGGAAACTAAAGGGGCTTGAATTTGGGGCTGTAGCCTGATGGGGCTGTGGATGCAAGAGGCATAGCTGTGAGGGTCAGCCATTCACAGTGAGTGGAGGTATTACTGAGGAAAACCATCCAGAAAGCATCATAGCCAGAAGCCCTCACAGTTCTGCCTGCCAAGGGGGCTGTCAGCTCCATCAGGAGATGGGAAAGGATCATCCCCTGTGGAAGTCAAACAGGGAAGTGCACTTCAGGAGCCCTTGTCACAACTGGCTGTTACCAACAAGAGCCCAGAGTTAGAGAGTACGGAGCAAAAGCTGCATCAGGGGACTCAGAACTGGCAAGTGCACATCATTATGGACTGCCAGACTTCTCTGCAGTAAATGTTAAACTACTAAGCTGCTGGTGATGCAAGTCTTGATGCTTGACAGGTGATTTTCATACTTGATTTAGAGCTGATCTGAATGTGCCTGTTACTTCCAAGTAGATGGTGCAAGAGAGGAGATGTTGTAGAATCATAGAAAGGCTTGGGTTGGTAGAGACCTTAAAGATCATCTAGTTCCAACCCTCCCATCCTGGACAGATATGCCACCTACTAGATCAGTTTTCTCAGGGCACCACTAAATCTGGCCTTGAACACTTCCAGGAATGGAGCACCAATATGGTTAGTTTGGGGAGCAGGGAAAGTGCTGTATGAATTTTCAAGGGTTGTTTTAGGGGACTCACAGCAGCCTAGGCACACCCTTTTCTGACTATTATGCTTCTGGCTATAAAAGCATTAAAAAAAGTTCTGGATCATGCAGGCTTAGGAGCTGAAGGCTGAGTAGAATGACTGATGTCCCAAAAGAGTTCCTTCAAGTTGCAGCTTGCAAAAATATGACAAATTGTAAATATATTCTAGGACCCTCAACCAGCAGGTTTGGCACCCTGAGTTTATTCAAAGTCTCTGGTGTATGAAGATTAGTTTGTCAGGCACCAGGTTCCATGCAGATTTGTGGCCGAACATAGAAAGCCTGTTTGCCAGAAAGCTCCAGAGCACTGCAGTAAAACGTTCAAAACCTGTGCTTGTCAAAAAATATCACTCTTACCCTAGGGCACCTTCAATCCTGTCCACATCTGGACTGCCACTAAACCCTTAAGTCTCCATAGATGATGTTGTCTAGGCAAAAAGCATTTTGCAGAACAGGAAATTCAGTGGCAGTGGTTGGGTCAGATTAGTGCCACAGATCCACAGAGTATAAAATCTGTCAGCAATACTTTCTGTTGCTAAATGATCAGTGCCCCTCACCAACATTTATTCTCACAGGGCTTCTGTGAGGCAAGAAAGCACTAATAATTTCATGCTGTAGATGGGAATCCAAGGCCAAGAGGGATTAAGAACCACCCTGCCCTCTGAAAAGGCTGTGATGTTGAGGCACATGAATATATAGCATATCTGAAAAGTGGTACAGTACAGCACCTAACACAGCTACTCCTGCAGTGAGACTGCACTTTCTGAAGATACCAGTCAAGTCTGTACAACCTGTGTGGACATAGCTAAAGCTCTTCTCTGGGCTCAGAAAATCCATGGCAGAGGTGTAATTTGGACCCTTTATTCTTATATTTCCACTTGGTATTTTAATCACTTGCTCTCAGTCTTGTTTCTCCAAAGGAGATGCAAAATGTTCATGAAAGCC